ATCTGCAAGAATAATTACATTGAGAGAACAAAAAAAAGAAGAGTAAACCTCCAACTTTCTGAACATGAACCAAAAAGCTTACGTCTTCGGGCAGGAACAAACGTTTACAATAGCACCATTACCAGGCATCTCTTTGATACGGGTCATGAGATGGACGTTGCAAAATCATTTAAAATTATCAATAGACAGAAAAATATAATTCTCCTCAAGTTGGTCTAAGCAATCCCTGAAACACAATTTATGCGTTCAGAAAGAAGCAGTTAGCAATCTTCCTTGTCCATCTTAGTTACTAGATGTCCTGAATCTCTCTTTCATTTGATTAAGTAATCACCCCACATTTGATATAGTGTAATTTTGCTTGTTTCTTGGTTGTATGACTTGAGTTGAACTCTGTGCATTGTTACCTAATTTATTAGTCACTCTGCAACCCCTTTACGCATCTCTCGTCTTCTAATTACGTATTGTATGCATACATTTATTTTGTTCAAACTTGAACAACCTGTGTAAAAACTATATGAGCATAATTTTCTGAGCACTATTCACTAAGTTTGTGACCTTCTGTCAACTGACACCATGAAAAAACCTCATAATTTATTCAAACTATAAGCAACTGATGAGATGCCAACAAAATAAACGGTGGTGCCATTTTATTCTGCAGAAACCACTGTTGTTCTTGCTTTAATCACACTTGTTAAGTAGACACTCAACTACCTTTATTCTCACTCAATGAGAATTTTAACCTTACCGAATTTTTAACACTTCCTTCCTTTTTGCCACTGAGTAATACGTAATTCATAACTTTTACAAGATTTTCATCATGAGCTGATATAGTTAGAGAACCACTGGAAAACCTGGGAGTACTGGACAGCTATTTCGTCCTAAATTGCGACTCTGCATCAGTAGGCGCCCACCGGGATTCGAACCTAGGACCTTATGGGTTACAAGGCGAGCTTGTTGACACTGGGACTAGATCCAATGGTCCATGTAACCAGAAGGTCCTGGATTCGAAACTCGGTGGATTCGTGATGCTGAAGAGTTCCAAACTAGGACGAAACAGCTGTCCAGTACCTCAAGGTTTTCCAGTGGCTCTCTAACTAATGTCAGCTCATGATGAAAATCTTGTAACCAATCAAATCCCTACAAACCAACACCTGAATATCATAACTTTTAGTTTTATTTTTGAAACCACTTCAGAGTAATTATATCAATTACTTAATAGTGAACTATTATACATTTTTGGTAAATATAAATATGACTGTACAGCTTCTGAAGATGGTTTCGTCGGTAAAGATTTTCTCCGCCGGATTGTCTTTTATTTTCTCAGTAACTTTGCCTTCTTTTTTACTCTCTCCTTCTTCATTGACTTTACTCAACACACATCACACATTCACTTTTATCAGTTAATGATTTCTCCAAGGAAAGTTGTTTGTATGTAAGATTGAAGAAAGTTTACCCATTTGTTATTGAGATGATGATTGGATCACATGACTGACAGCTTAATAGCTTAGATCAAGAATTAGCTATGAGGTTAGATTGTAAAATAAAACGAATAGAAGAAGGCAAAGTGCACACTAGTGTTTATAGAAAACCAACTCATTCTAATAGATACTTAGACTTTAATTCATCTCATCCGTTGACTGTTAAGGCAGGCTTAGTTAAGTGTTTAACAAACCGAGCAGTGGCACTAAGTAGCACAGAAAAGACCTAAATGATGAAATAAAACAGATAGGAGAGGCTTTGGTGTTAAATAACTAACTATCCTATAAAATTCATTAAGAAGATCGAAAAAGGCCAAACGATAAATAAAAAATAATTGTGCAACTAGTAAGAATAACATAAATAAGAGAGAATATAAGTCATCTACAGTTATACCATATAAAGAGGGGACATCTGAAACCCTATGTAGGATTCTAAATAAAGCAGGAATTAGGGTAGCATTCAAACCTACAAACTCACTTAGAGACAAGCTCTGTAGGCTAAAGGACCCTGTCGGTTGAACCAATTAGACAAAATAATATAATCTACAAAATACCCTGCAATGAATGCAAATGAGGTCAACTACATAGGTCAAACTAGTAGACCAGGCGAGGGTAATCAGATTGTCAGGACATAAGAATTCAGCTAAAGTAATAATGGTTGACCCCGAGAAGATAAGTAAATTAGAAAAAAGCTCACCGATTGCACTGCATGCATTAACGCACAACCACACAATAGGGTGGGAGATGCTTAAAATACTAAGAAGTAATCTAGGTAGGTGGAGAGAGAGGTTGATTACTGAATCCTTGTTCATTGAGTCTAGCCGAACATATGCAATAGGAAAAATTCGTCACTCAGACCCGAAATATGGAAAATACTACTACCAATCAAATCCAGTGAAAAACAAGTGACAAAGAATGGAACTATATAAATAAAGTTAGGAAGTCGTGTGAGTAGTGTATTGACATGATTATGAGCAATAAATCATGCTCGAAACTTCATCAGTAAACATTACTGTGAGACTATATCAAAACAAAATTCACCCATAATGGAGCTTAGATCAAGCTCTAACAAGTGCATTTCCTACCCTGTATCATTTCATTTGATCTTCATTCTGTGTCTACATTGCATATTAAGGGACGTATATGAAGGTAGAACTTTAGGAATGTTCAGATTTCATAGTATAGGGTTATTTAGATAGGGATTTACTTGATCTGTAAAGGAGAGATTTAGCACAACCCACCATCGCTAAGTATTTATGCGTAGCTGTTCACAACAGCTATATTAATGACTACTTCTTACTTAGTTATCAGTATTCCTACATAAGGCTACTGTGTGTCAGTGGTCCAATAATAGAATGCTCCCGAACTGGGCAGCAAATGCATGTTTTAACTCCTGGTGGATGCATTTCTAAAAATCCCCCCTAGTCAGCCCGGAAAAGAAGCGATATTAGGAGTGTGAACAGTGACCCCACCTTATAAAAGCAATATCACGACTACTGAATTTTAAATAGCTAAAAGTACTATGTATTACACAATGTAAGGGATGGGTTGTCTAGCCGGTGTGTTGAAATCCCCTGATATATACAGACCTTATTTTCCACATGTCATTTTAACATGTCTGTTTGTCTTTCTATCACCCATACTTATTGATTTATGACTAAATTTTCTCTCTCACAAATTATGATCTTCGAAATCCTACTGGCTGTCCACTGTCTGAATTTGTTGATGACATTAGTGATTCTCAAGGTCATTTTAAAGATATGTGGCTGCAAGCGCTGTCAGTCTTTACTTTGATTGGACACTAGTCACTACTGGAGGTCACTCGTGAGCTCGAATAGCTCAATGGTAAAGTCTCTGACTGCGGCACCAGGTTACGCTGGTTCGATTCCAGGAGGGATATGAATTCTTTGAAGTTTGCAAATACACCCTGGATGAGTGCCAACTAGCACGAAAGTGTTGTCTGGGTCAGTCAAAGCCTTCTTATCAATGTTTAGTCTTCTCATCTGTCTTTGCAGCTCAGCGGCACTATTGCTGTTGTTGTTGTTGACGTGCGATTAAGACAGATTAGCCAGCGCATTAAAGTAAGTATTCGCTCATAGTCTATTAGATCATAGTTTCGTTCATAACATCCATCCCCAGCCTGATATCTTTAGACAAGATGGAGCCTATCGAGCATGGCTTATGGTGGAAACTTTAGAATAAAGTCAATCCTAAAGTCTATATCAAACACAAAATTTAAAGAAGATTTTATTACAACCAATCATACTACTTTTAACTCAACTGTGGTGAAAGTAAAATGTGTTTTCACTGAAAATCCACTTTTGGATCAGGCATATCAAAGGGAATGATTACTGTGTTAAAAACACCAACTAAATTCAAGTTGAACTCATAACCTTAAGGTCTTGGATTTGTGCCAGGTGCTACTGATAAGATTTATCAGTAGTTAATAAAGAGACGTACATAGGAATAAAAACATCAGATGGTAGGGAGATAGATTTGATATCAGAGAAAGAGAATGATTCAGTGCTGCAGAGAATCATCGGACATATGAGATCAACACAAAGAAATGCAATATGAAGGAGGGGCATAGGCTGCACAACACGAAAGATCTGTGCAAATGGTGATTTGAAGATGTGTGTGTGTGTGTGTACATCATTTGGCTACATAGAGATACCGAATTACCAAGTCTTTTGTCTTCTGTTGTTGCAAATTCACTTACTACTGGAGTTATGGGTGCACACTCCTGAAATGCCCTCCGTTGTCTTCAGTTATTCTATAAGTGAAATGTATCGATGTTCCTAAGGACGTTCAATGCACTGAAATTCATCCAAAAAACCATCATGACAACAATTCTTATTCAAGTATTCGTTTGTAGGGATTTGGTTGATTGGTTACAGGATTTCATCATGGGCTGACAATAGTCAGAGAACCATTCGAAAACATCTGGGAGTACTGGACAGCTGTTTCTGTTGTCCTAGTTTGGGACTCTTCAGCAGTATGCGCCAACCGGGCTTGGAACCCAGGACCTTCTGGTTACAAGACGAGCTCGTATACCATCAGGCTAATACTTGAATATCAATGAGATGCTCACTGGCGACTGGCCCTATTCAGGTAGGTAGTTTTCTTGGGTTCGAGTGGGAAGTCGTGACCATTAGGGTGCAGCAGGTTGGGTGTGAGGACAAATACTCGCTGAAGACATTGGCTAGCGGTTGCGCTATATCATGAATTGGCAGAAGTTAGAATTCAGGAACCACTGGATCGGGTCCCGGTGACTGAATGGTATACGAGCTCGCCTTGTAACCAGAAGGTCCTGGGTTCGAACTCTGGCGGAGGGTGGGTCATTACTTCTGAAGAGTCCCACACTAGGACGAAACGGTTTCCAGTACTCCCAGCTGGTTTTCCAGGGGTTCTCTAACTGATGTCAACACATGATGAAATCCTGTAACCAATTCTTATTCATTCCATTCTATTCTCAACATATATAACAATAAAAATCTATGGCAAGAAAAGAAGCATACTTACTGTACTCGATTTACTTCTCATCTTAGTGATGTATCTTTTCTCTCAATTCAATTAATTGAAATTCATAATAATTCAAAATATATACGTGTTTCAATAATCATTCACTGCAGATTGTTTGTATCCTTTTTGAAGAAATTTTCAGTAAGTCCATATGTGTGTGTGGGACTGTGAGTGTACAAAGTCTAATCAAATGTCCTTAAAAGTCAATTAAATGCATCCACAATTCACTGATGCCAGTATCGCCAGCATCCTCAATGTCCTGGTAGAATTTTATGCCAAAAAAGTACCTGATGGTAATGATAATGATAAGAATTATAGTTTCAGTGATGGTAACACTAAGTATAATCAATTCAACGATAAAAAATAAATTTAAGTACGATCACGTGTGAATAGATGGACTAACAGATGCGTGTACCCCCACTTCTACCCCACAATGCACACACACACACACGCATACACCTACACACAATCGAATGATTGGTTACTTTATATTAATAAAACAATCAAAAAAAGTCACATGTTAGGTGATTACTCAATGAGAATAGAGATTTTGCTTCACTATGTTTAAAACAATCAAGCTTATTGTAGGATTACATTTTTATTGCAACTTATTATGTAATGAATAACTTGAGAGCGACTACCAGTTGGTAAATGACATCTTGGGTCAAGTCCTTCATTTGTTTTTGCTGTAAGTTAAGTTTGTCATGTGATCATCATGCAAGGTGGCTCTGTATCATGGTGCAATCTGAATTATCGGCAGGAAGACTTGGACCAAGGTCTTTTGTTTGTTGATATTCGTCAACAATTATGGCGCATCTGTAGTCTTGAAGAAATTCATACCCCTTCTGAGATTCATACTACAGTCACCTGGATGTACAGTCAGAGAAGTTGACATTGAGTTATTCGGGATCCTTACTGACATTCTGTAGGACTGTAATGGACAGGTTTTAGTAGCTGACGTCACGCGACTAGTCCTTTGGCTGGCGCAGACTGGATTCCATCAGTCAAGTATACAAATATATTCCTTTGTTTATTCATATCTACAGCTGACACGGTTAGGACGCTCGCCTAACATGCCCATTTTCTGGGGTTTGATCCCCGGCCGACGCACTTCTTTACCTAGCTAAGTCAGTAATAGAACTGGCAAAAAGGAAAGGTTGGGCATGAGGCTGGCTAGCAACCCAATCCTGTAAAAATAAACACCACTGCTACAGAAACTTCAAGCCACTAGCTTGAGGCCCGATGTTCCACTGGGGAACGTGAAGGAAAAAAAATATTAACAAGTAGGTAGTTACCTGTTGTTCGTGACCAGTAGGGTGCAGCAGGTCGGGACAAATACTCGCTGAAGACATTGGCTAGGGGTCGCGCTATGTTGTGAATTGGCAGAAGTTAGAATTCATGGCCATTGGATCGGGTTACGGTGGCTGAATGGTATACGAGCTCTCCTTGTAACCAGGAGGTCCTGGGTTCGAAGCCTGGCGGAGGGTGGGTGCGTACTGCTGAATTGGAGTCCAGAACTAGGACGAAACAGCTGTCCAGTACTCCCAGTTTTTCCAACGATTCTCTAACTGGTGTCAGCTCATGATGAAATCCTGTAACCAATTAAATCCCTACAAACAAACACTTGATTAACAAAAAAGTTAGGAAGTTCAGATATATAAAAAAACAAATCTAGTAATGCAGGTAGGAATTAAGAGCATAAACATAACAGAAAAAAGCGTGAAGGTTGGGTAAAGAAGGTAACAGGATAGGATAGGAAGTTAAATCTGATTCATTATTTCATTTTGTCAGTGTTCAGCTGAGAAGAAAAGCTGACAATTCACTGAGAAGATCCATCTACAAAAACGTCACATGGAACGAGCACTTTATCAGCTTCCAGAGTTGAGTTACTCCAGACAGAAAGAGAAACCTAACATACTCTTTGTCTCATAGGACCCGAAAAATATGCACTGATAAATCAATTGATAAAGAATTGCGAAATCAACGAAGGACTTTGATAGACTTTGATGGATTCCCACCGAGATTCATAGACAAGAATCTGAAACCAAAGAAAAGGTCTGGAAAGGTCCGTGTTGCCGCCAAAAAGATGCTGATATTGAATCTCGGATTTCAAAGTGATACCGAAGCAGAACTTCTTCATCGACGACTTTCAAAGTCTTTCAGTAAAGCATATTCGGGTTCGAATAAAATAAAAACTAGTAATGAAGACAGAAATTAAGAAATAGAAAAATAACAGGAATAAGCAAGAAGGTTGGATAAGAGGGGTAATAGGAATAATCATTATTTGTGGGACTGACTTTTCATGATGGCCACAGTAGGGACGATGGCTGCACGTATTTCTTTTGAACAAATAGGATGAGCTTGGATCTCCAGTACCTCCGCTATACCAGATGCCTTAATTTCGCTCTCTTTGATAGGTCTAATCGGATCATGTATATGGCTTTGAAGGACTTTTCCGAATTCACCAGATCTTCAGCTACCAAACTGTAAATTCCTTTGCGTTCTGCCTTTGTTAACCATGCTGAATAGTGTTTCCGGGTGAGTTTTTCAAATAGACACATGGTACTCAGCTCCATACGAACAAGTGAACTGCTGTATGCATGTTGAAGTGATGCAGTCCAATGGATTGTCTTTCACGTGCTGGTTGAATAATGTCTCGAAGGAAAATGTTACTTGTAGGCAGGTGGCGAATTGTGTTTTACTGAGAGGCTTCGAAAGTCGTCGATGAAGAAGTTCTGCTTCGGTATCACTTTGAAATTCGAGATTCAATATCAGCATCTTTTTGGCGGCCACACGGACCTTTCCAGACGTTTTCTTTGGTTTCAGATTCTTGTCTATGAATCTCGGTGGGAATCCATCAAAGTCTATCAAAGTCCTTCGGTGATTTCGCAATTCTTCATCAATTGATCTATCAGTGCATGTTTTCCGGGTCCTCGGAGAAAGAGAGTATGCTAGGTTTCTCTTTCTGCCTGGAGTAACTCAACTCTGGAAGCTGACAAACTGCTCGTTCCATGTGACGTTTTTGTAGATGGATCTTCTCAGTGAGTTGTCAGCTTTTCTTCTCAGCTAAACATCGGCTACACACGAAGCCAACGGCCAAATGGGGGCCTAGACGAGTACCCACTGTTACTCTATAAATGTTCCTATATATTTCGTTTTCGAAACTAAATTAGACGTTGAAAGTGCACCATACTAACAACTCTTTTAGATAATGAATTGAATAAAGTCACAAAAGGAGCATGCGATTACTGTCAGTAGGACATTAGTGAAAACAGAGAGAGAGAGACAAGATCCACAGAGATCATTTTCGTATTTGCCAAGTTGACACTCTTATTTGAATTACCAAAATCGAATGTGTCTTGGAGGTTGCATCTTGATAGCTTTCCTTTCACGAGCCGAAGAATCTCCACCAGGCATTTTGCGGATGAACGATATGGAGATTCTGTCATAACTAGTTTTCAGTGAAGAGGGGCATCTAGTTTGTATGTTTCAGGGAAGCGCTAAATGCTTGGCTTTGTAGAACCAGATGAACGCAGTTGTTCGTATAGTTTTGAAGTGATAACCGATTCGACTTTCATTTTCTTCAATATCTTTGTCAGCTTTCTCTCCAACCGATCTTTCTGGGGAGATTGTATTTCAAAAGCTTTTATCACCAGATAGTATCACTGAGAGTTCGCTGAAGTGGTCTGATATATTCACCTTGACAGTTCCGGGCGCATGATCTGGACGTGTCATGACAAAAGTTTCAATTTTCCTTGAATTCTTTGAGCTACTTTCCATGTTCTTTGGAGTGTATATTACGAAAGATGGTTTTTTCTTTCTCGATTGATGAAATCAAGCCAGCAATTGACAATGGTTGATTTGAAATGCTTTGCACTGTCAAAAGAGAGTGGGATCAGATTATTAGTCTGGCTAATTACATTTTCGAAGTGGACGTTTTTGTTCAGATCATTTACTTTTAGCTTTGCATCATAAGACGTAACTCCAGGTGCTTAGATCTGCATTTGAATTGGCGATGGTGAAACATCTGAACAACTAAAATGTATTTTTCTTGGGCAGGTAGGAAAAATTGTCCATCTGGCAAGAGACCATAGGCTTTGGTTTAGTTATTGCTTATTATCAAAAATTCAGTTCAATAATCATACTGATAGTTCTTTATCATATGCTCTATTTACCAGTTAGAGAACCATTGAAAACCAGGGAGTACTGGACAGCTGCTGTCTCATCCTAGTTTGGGAATCATCGGCAGTATACATCCACTGGGATTCGAAACCAGGACCTTCCGGTGACAAGGCCAGCAAGCTCGTATACTATTCAGCCACTGGGACCCGATTCAATGGCTCATGAATTCTAACTTCTACCAATTCGTGATTTAGAGCGACCCCAACCATTGTCGTTGGTGGGACATCCATCCACACACGTGACATCTAAATGAACCTTACTGGTCACGACTTCTCACTAGAACTCAGGAAACTCCAACCTGTAGTAAGTCACTAGCGAGCATCAGATTAATTTTCTGTAGTTTGGTTTGTAAGGGTTTGTTATGCCAGTACTCCCTGGTTTTCAATGGTTCTCTAACTAATATCAATCCGTGATCAACTCGTAAAAACATAACAAACCTTACAAACCAAACTATAGAAAATGCTATTTACCACTGATTTGATAATGTTTTGCCAAATATGAAGTTTTTCTTAAAATTTGATGTCTCGTGATTAACTCAAAACTTTAACTAACTGTTTCATACATTCATGTGACTTTTTACTTAAAATATACCTCCATATTTTTAATAATTACTATCATAGAGCATGTTTGTGTGTATGCATATATTTACGTACATGCATATCATCTCATTTATACAAAGTTTATCGGGGACTGGAGGAGGTATCCTTGAAGCATTCTACATGTGCGCATAACAAAAGACCTATCTGGGTTTATATATAGAAACTTTGAAGAGGTGAATATGGATACATTGTCCCTAGACTGTTTACTGTTCGTACCATGTATTAATTTAATACTGAATTGAATGTCAGATATATGAGTAAATGATTGTGAATATCAATGAATGTATTGTATTATATATTATTGTTCCTTTGGGTTCCGAGTGGAACATTGAGCTTCAACAGCACATCTCCATTTTGTCCTATCTTCTGTTGTCCTCTTCAGCTTGAACTACGATTGCCTACAATCTGTCATCTTCCCCTCCCCACAACATCACTTCCATGTCAGCCTCACGGCAACGACCCAGTCTTCCCTTCCCACTAGGATTCCATTCGAGGGTCAGGCGACAGTGGGTTGTCATTTGATTGTCTCCTCAATTTATACCCTATCCATCTCTATTTTTTCCTACATATTTGCTGGGCGATTGGCTCTTGTTTGGTTTGTTC